GAACAGAACAGGCAAATTGAAACATTGCTCAAGGGAGCAGCAGGAGGAACAGGAGAGATCTGCTGTGCCATGTGGGTCACCTCCCTGGCTGGGGATCAAACTTGTGCTGCAGTGGCTGCCAGTAACTTCTTAGTGCTGCGCTTAAACCAGTTCTGCCAGCAGAGAGGGCCCATATTCCATTTTAATGATAGCTTGTTCTGCTGTGCTGAAACTTTTTAGTTTGATGTCCCACTTGCTTACTTCCGTATTTTTCCTTTGCTGATAAAGTCAAACTCCCAAAGATAACCCTGAAGCCAATGTCTTAGAGTGTTTATTTGTTTACATGCGTGTATTTTATGGTTTCACATTTTCCGTACAACTGTCGACCCATTTTGAGTTAATTTTTGTGTTTGGGGTACTCTCCATGTCTGATTTGATTCAGCCTTTGCTGGTTTCTCATGTCCAAGAGGTGCTCCAGGTTTGCCTGAAGCTACTAGACTGGGAGATGCCCCTCTGTTTAACTCTTAGATGATCCTCTAGGAGCAAAGCAAAACACCTCTGTTACCATTTTGGTTTGAATTCTAGATACTCTTCTTTGCCAGATTTTGAAATTTGTATTTTATTTTACAAGTGTTGTAGGAAACTTTTGTGTCCTTAAGAAAAAAAAAAGGCAGTTATGAATGGTAAAGCTGGAAAGACTGGATGAAGGAGGCTTCTCAGAGCAGGGGACCAGGGATTGCCTCTTTGGAGTATTTCATGCACATCAATTTTCTGTATCCTCATAAAATGGATTACCCTTAGTTGTGTCTTTTAAGATGACTTTTCCTTTTTACAATATGTACTTTAGATTCTGCTTCGTGAAGGCTGCAAGAAAATTCTCGTAGCAGACTCTCTGTCCTTACTGAAGAAAATGCATCGAACCCAAATGAAAGGCGTTCTGGTAGATGGTAGGTAAACTGAAATAAGGTGTCCTATGACTTGCTTTCAGAAGAGACTGGCAAAATAGGAACTTTGTATAATACCCATGTATGTTTTTCCTTGCAGATGAGAACATCTGTGAATCCTGTCTTTCCCCTATTCTTCCATCAGGTAAGGTAGTGGGAAGAGAAAAACATTCCCAAATATGTGTTAATAATGAGTAGAACTAAAATTTTGAAGTTAGCTAATCATAATTACTATTTATAAAATTATGTAACTCTCAGGATAATCCCACTCAGAGGTGTTTCAGCCTACATCCTATTTAATTGAAGGCTGGTGCTGATATTCATTAGAGCTGAGATTCCCAAATATGTGTATGTAGCCAGTTGAAACCCAGATTGCTGATCCCAACCCAGGAGCTCTTGTTCTAGGGCACAACCTGAGAATTTGCATTTCCAACAAGTGCCCAGGTGATGCTGATGTTAACAAATCAGAAACCATTGTTTGAGAACCACTACTCTGGAACCAAAGAAAATGAAGTCACCATCAACATGTTTAAATGCCAAGATAGAAGAACCGTGCGTGTATCTGGAAAAATATATATGTGTAGCCTACTTTCCCTTCTCTTTAAACATCTTCTCTGATGTATGGTTCTAGGCACACAAGCTACTGCTTAAATATATATATATATATATATGTATATATGTATATAGCTAACTTGCCCTTCTCTTTAAACATTTTCTCTGTTATATGGTCTAGGTACACAAGTTACTGCTTATTCAATACAAACTTAATATCACCAACTGATGAGAACATATGAGTACTTTACAGGCAAAAACATTTGTTTATATGCAGTTGTATGTGTAACATCATGTGTAATCAGAGCACCTTATGACATGAGAAAAGGATGTTTCCTAATGTTAAAGTAGAAACTAAAGCATACTTGGTGAAACAATAACACTTTTAAAAGATAATTCAGCATAGAGAAATACATTTACTTCACTTTAAAGGATTAGTAAGGAGGAACACACAGATTGTTTTCTATAGGACATAATTTTGAATTTCAAGTTTTTATGTTTAAAACTATAGTAGGCTCAGAAAGTGAATTCTCAGTGTGCTGGGCAGTTCAAATAGAAAGACACTGCATGCCCCCATACGGTACAGTTAGATTAAATTCTAATTTAACTGGCTGGAATTCTAAATCTTACCAGAAATAAGCTGGCAACACAGAGGAGTTGCAGATGAGGTGCAGGGTCCAAGGAGATCTTCAGTGCATTGTAAAGCAGCAGCCTCCAGTTTTAACCCAGCTAATATCTAGAGTCATTGAATGAACTTGGCAAAGACACTAGGTGAACTGGCAGAAAGTATTTTTAGAAAGCCACAAAATTGACTTCATTATATGGTATATAAAGATTGTAAATAATGGAGGAGGGTCTACACATGCACACAACACTGGTCCTCATTTTTGAAATAACATTGTTGCATTTGCTATAAAATAGTTCCAACTTTGTGGTCATATAGTAACTCACTTGGAGGCAAAGCAAGTAACCTGTGACTCAGGTAGCAACATGATTGTAATACCTACTTCACATTTCATCACCACACCCCTCAATAATGCACTTTTGAAAAAAGATGTATTTATTTATGCATACTGAGCTGGGGAGCAGGCCAGAGATGCAGGGGCGGTGAGAGGATTCACCAGAGACAGAGTGGGGAGCAGAACAGACCGACTTACGAAGCACACTGCAGAGGGGAGCAGCAGTGGGTCAGGAGAGGTCTGCCACGCCATGTGGTTCACTCCCAGGGGAGGGTATCGAACTCATGCTGAGGTGGCTATAGCTTCTCAGTGTTGTCTTTAACCCTCTGTGCCACCAGGGAGGGCCCCAATAATGCACTTATTAATAACCAGTCCTCCAAATGCAGTTTATTGCTGGGAAATTAACACCTGGACTCCAAATCAAGACTGGTCTAAAAGTTTTATCAGCTCCTTGTTGCATTGAGTTCTTCTTCCTTCACCCCTTCTGCCCCCCAGATGCTGCCAAGCCCTTCAGCATGGTGGTCTTCCATTGCCGCCACATGTTCCACAAGGAGTGCTTGCCTGTGCCCAGCATGGTGAGTTGGCAGCTTGATGGCCATAACTAAAGGAAAATGGGTGCAATCAGAGGACTGGGTGCCAAATTGTAAGACTTGTCCTGTGGCTTTATGGACTCTCAAAATTATAACATCATTTTATATCACATAAGAAAAATCCATGAATTTCTTAAATGTAAAAGTGTTCACATGCCTTTTGCAGCAACATGGATGGGCCTGGAAGGGATCATGCTTAGTGAAATAAGCCAGAAAGAAAAGGAAAAATAACGGATGGTTTCACTCATTGCAGCAGTATAAAGGACCGGGGGGCAGCAAGGACAGGGAAATAATAATGAACAACTATAACCATAGACATTTTACAGGGGTGGAGTGGGAAATGGGATCAAAAATGGGTGGGAGGTGGAGGGAAGTGCACTGGACTATGGTGATGGCACACAGGTGATTTGGTGATGGGAAGCCCACGGGGATTACAACTGATGTAAAAATAAATTTTATTAACAAAAAAAGAATTCCAAAAATAGTGTAAAAGTGTTCAGTATATTAAGTAGTGTACAAGCTGAATTGTTCAGGTAAAACTGCTGACTGCTGAGCTATAGATGTGAAATATGGAGAGAACCAGAACCATTTTGTATTTTGTGTAATTTCCTCCACCTGCCTTTTGTGTCATGGCACGGCTATATTTTAGTGTCAAGACAGTTTTCCCCATGTTCTCCCATGTCACATTTGACTTATTTTGCAACAGCTGTCCTTCGCATCACAGAATAACTGATCTAGATAGACTCTATGTGAACCAGAAACAATCTCCAGGAAAAGGAGTGACATTTCATAGCTTCCTTCTCACCCCTCCCAGTAATCCCATAATATTTCTGAATGTGAGTAAACAGAGATCTGTTTCTTTAAAATCTGTGTTTTTCCAATCACATTTTTAGAGCTCTCCTGCACAGTTCTGCAACATCTGCAGTGCTAAGCACCGTGGACCAGGAAGTGCCATTTTGGAGATGAAAAAATAGCTCAGTGCTGTTCACCAGTCTTTTCCTCGCCACTCTTTTGAAGACAGTTTTTGCAACAACAGAAGCGTTTGTTGACATCAGTGCTGTAAAGAGATTTGTACAAGTTCCTAATATGCCTCCCAAAATTTTCTTCATCTTCATCTGTCTACTCGAGTTTCTTTGCTGTTGGTAAAGAAATGAAGGTTTTCCCCATCCATGCCTGGACATATATGGGTTCATGGATTTGTTCGCCTCCTCTTTATTCAGGAATGCAAACACAGAAATGAGGGTTGGAAATGAATTTTTGAATCCTGGGGGAAATGTTCAGCTGTGAAGTGGATAAGGGAGAGTGATCCCAGCTGTCCAGGAGCATCACCGACTCAGCCGTCCAGCTGACGCCTACACAATTTGAACCTTGTTTCCATATGCTCTGCTGGCAGGATTCCTACATTTTGGGTTTGCTTTTCTTTTATATGTCCTCAGTTGTGGTTATCTTCTTACTAGGCATTTAATAAAACATTGCATAAATTGTCACTCATCCATGACATCTAGGGATGACATTGGCAAGCTGATCTCATAAAGCTTTATGTTAACTAATCACATGTTCCGTGTGTCCTGAAAATTAGCAGTGTCTGGCACTGGAAGGCGTTGAGCATTTGTTCACTGAATAAATACTAGCTCTTCACATTGTGAGACTCACTTTTACTGGGTTGAACAACGTTAGTCAATAATTGTGGCACTCTCAGAAGCAATAGGAGAACTTTAGCACCTTGTAGTGTGAAGGGTGATAATAGATATTACTGGTAAGAGAAATCATAGGGCCAGGTTTAGAGGAAATATCTCGGAACAATACCTCTTTCCATTGCACTTAAAAGAACATTCTCTAACAGACAGCAGACTCTTTCTGTGAGTCTTAAATTTAGAACTGGAAAGTCCTTTGATGGTAAGGAATGGCAGCCCTTAGCCCTCCCAGTATTTCCTTGTTTTAAGACTAGAGTTCTTTTAGATCCCCTGCTAGTTTTCAGTTTTTGTTTTTGTTTTTTTAAAGATTTTTTTATTCATACAGAACTGGGGTACAAGCCAGAGGTGCAGGGGCAGTGAGAGGCTTCACCAGAGATAGTGGGGGAGCAGAACAGGCAGACTCACCAAGTACACTGCTGAGGGGAGCAGTGAGCTTGTCAGGAGAGGTCTGCCACGCCATGTGGGTCACCTTCAGGCCGGGGATCGAAGTTGCACTGAAACTGCTATGGCTGGCTTGCAATGCTGCACGTTAATCCATAGAGCCTCCAGGGAGAGCCTAGTTTTCATTTTTATCAGAAAAACTCCTTCACAAAAACTGTGCAAGTAAATCCAATTTGTTTTTTTTTTGGTTGTTGCTAGTACAGCAATCATCAACTACTTGTGCTTTGACACTTACCTTACTGATCCTACTGCTATCCAGTGGTCGCTCACCCTGACTTCCTGACAACATGGAGGAGCCTCTCACCCCTGGATGTGGCCATCTGCCTTTGCACACGGTACTGCAGTTGTCCCTGTAGCCAGTTGAAGTCTTTGCTTATTACGAATTCTACCAAGTGGTATACAGTTTACTTGTTCATGGTAAAGTTAGTTAAACCTTTCTGAAATTAGTTCAGGGAACCCCTTTTGTCCTGGTTGCTTCTAAGTTTGGGGTGGGAGTAACAGAGTCACCTCACTATGTACAGTTTTCAGTGAGAAAGAGGAAATGAGTCCTCAGTTGACCTCTGTCCACGGTGCCATGGGCAGAAATGCCATCATCTGCCCAGCCTTCCGTCATCTGTGTCTGCTGCTGTCCTATATGGCTCTGGACCCAACTGGTGTCTCACCCATAGTCCTCAACTAACCCTAGTGCTCCAGCAAATTGGTCTCCTCTATGTCCTCACCATGCCTAAGAGTGTGTGTAGAAGGGGCAGGGAGGGCAGGGCAAGGTGGGCATTTGGTGTTCAAGGTTGCTGTGTCACAAAGGACATAAAAAGTAAGAGCGCTTTCTGTCAGAAATTTAAACCTGAGTGCTGTGTCTGACTACCATATTCCTACCCAGAACTCAGTCACAGGACCGAGTGCCCCTACTTAACGCTCTGCCCCCCAAATCGGTGTGGTCTTGCCCTGTCCCAGTGCAGTGAAATGCTTCATTTTTTGAGGCTGTGAAACTGGCTCTAGCATTATTAAATGTTTTGGTACAAATTCTGGGTAGTTGGTACTCAGTTTGAGACTTCTGTTAACTATTGACTAAATTCTTAATAATCTATTTTACAACTTAAAACTAGAATTTTCTGTTCCTTTTCTGCTGTATTATCTTTTTCCTTCTTGCTATAAACAAGGTAACAATAGCAGAAAGCTCAGGGGGAAAATCCCCACCTTGGTGGTTACCTCAAAATACTTTGCCAATTTCACTTACATATCTGTCTTAAACTGTGGACTGTGAGCTCAATACAGACTTTATATGTATTGTTTTCATCTGTGTATTTATAGAACTACATGAAGAGTCACTGGAAAAGCTTGTTAAGTGAATGAAAGCCAGTCTTTGTCCATGTCAGGGGAGTACTTTATGTATATAGTAGCCTACGGATGTACAAGTGGTTAATGAAATGGATGTTAACCATTTAATTCTGTAATGGACACAAAGTATTCTCAAGTTCAGCCCATTTGAAGCTCGTCTTTGAGTGTGCTCCCTTCTCTGCTTCCCCATCAAGTCTGCGTCTTTTTTCACCATCATACTAGCTTTTGCATTGACATTTCCTCTGTCTTAGACACAGATTTTTACCTAGCATCTGGATGGGTTATAACCAATTCTTCCCCAGCCTACCTACTTCCAGTATCCACATTTCTCTGATTTATTCTGTACCTACCTTCAATATTGAGCCTCCTTACAAATTGAGTCACTCAAGTTCTCATATATTTTGTTATTTCCAAAGCTAGTATCACTACTGATAAAGTCTTCATGTCTTCATTTCCTTGTCATCAATTAAAAGACCCGTTCAGTCTTCAAAATCCATCTTGATGTGTCTTACCATCTCCATGTGTCTTCTCCAACAAACTCCTCAAGCCTAAAGCAATTTGCACTCCAAACTCCCTTTACTGTGGCTCAAACATCGAATCTACTTATGTGATATATTTATCCTTACTATATGTCTAACTCCCTTAAGTAAATTATTTCTCAAAGGAAAGAAATCTCTTAGAATTTCCAAAGGCAACATGTGAAGAAACTGCTTGTTTCTCAGCCTTGGATTTGTACCAGGGACTTGGAGGACATGGAAGGTAACACTTGAAAGAGATATAGGTAAGGGGCCCACAAGAGGCTAAAATGTTAGTCTTTACCTTGACTTGTATTTTGGTTTTGTCGGGGACTCTTTGTTCCCCGATCACGGATTATTGGGGGGGCAGAACAGGCAGATTATCAAGGTGGGAGCGGCATTGGCTAGTGGAGATTCCCAAAAAAGGGGGGGAAGGGAGAAAAAGGAAGAAGAAAAATGGGGAAGGGGAGCGAGGAAGACAAGGGAATCAGAGTTGGGTGCAAGTCTTCCTGTTCTGCCTTTAGCAGAAGTTTATTTTATACATTAGGAACAAGCAGTGGGATGACATCAGCACATGAACTGGACTGAGAGATTACAATCATCTTTTTTTTCTAGGAATAGCTTAGGATCGTATTATCCTTCAGCTATGATTATTATTCTTAAAATCAATCTATCAAAGTTAGGATAGGTACACAAATTCATAAAATTTTAAGGTTAACATTGTTATATTACTTCAGTGTTTGACTGGCTAAAATAAAATCCCTTTAAACCTCAGATGCTATTCAATGATCTCCATTCTTATTGAGACATCCTAGAGGGCAAAGTAAAGTCCGAAGACAAGGGGGGTGGCTGGATTGGAGATGAGAAGGGGGATAAGGTGAGGTTGCGGGCCAAGGAGAAGTTGTGAAAGAGGGTAAAGTAAGGTCGAAGACTGGGCTGGAGTTTTCTGGTAGATAAATCACTAAGGGAGATAGTAAGATTCCTCATTTAAAGACGGAGCAATAAAAGCTTAAGTAAGAGAGTAGAGTGATAAGATTGGGTTCTGGTCCGGGCAGTAAAAGAGCTTTATTTTTTAGCATGTTCTAGTACTGCCTTGTCTTACAATATTGATTGTGTTATAATTGTTTTTATTAATCAGCCAGTTGTAATACTATTTTTTGCTTTCTAGAGGAATTTTCTATCTTGGGCAGCACTTGCTCACCTGAGCCAGGCAGCGCCTTATGAGGCTAACGCAATCTGGTTGTAAGCTGATGGTTGCTTAGAATATTTTGATATTACAAAAAAGGGAGGTCTTAAGTTAGCATGGAAATTCTGATTTTTCAGAGCACTACCATCTCTATCCAGAATATTTCAGTCGATAGAGACTGCATAGCTTGTGTCAGGTTTCACTCCTTTCCTCCCAGACTTGCCTGGTCCCCTCTTCTGCCCCTTTCCTGTGGCTCCCACCAGAAGTTGCCTTAGATTTGTGGCTTTCAGGCTGCAGTTGCCCTGCTTTGGGCCAACCCTGTTAGACTGAACATGTACCACAAGGGGGTGGATAATTTGGGGTCTTTTATTAAGAAACTATATCCTTTCTCTATTACATACTAGTTCTATTAAAGTTCATTTCTTTTGACCACCTTGGGGTGCAGGGGTGGGGGGGCTTACCACTGAATAAGCACTGATTAAATGTCTCTGACATTGTAAGCAAAACCCTGTTCTCACTGGGTGTGGGGTTCTTTCTCAGAAATTCATGTTTGGAATAGTATGGTAGAGAGAGTAGAGAAGAGTCCTGCCTGTTGAGGTACAGGTGGGGGCTGGAGAGAAAGGACACACTAAAACAACCTCTTCAAATATCTTGCTGCGAGACAGAGAAAATTATTGAAACTTTAAATGAATAAAATTTAGGCCAGAGCTTTGTGAAGTTGAAGGAATGAGTTGTTCTGCTTTCTAAAGGGAGAAAAGAAAAATCATGCAACTTGGGTGGTCAAGGACTTTTAAGGAAAGGAAAGATTATTCAGTTTTATGTTGCATTTTATCTCCCTGAAATTTATGTAAAGTCTAGCATATAAATTTCATTATCAGTGAGTAGATTTTAGGGAAATGAAGAGCTCTGATCTACATCTAGGATCCTGAGGAGCATGGAGAAATTAATGACAATAGCGAGCAAGAGCTGGAGTTAAATGGAAACAGTTCAGCCTCATACATGACAATATGAGTATAGAAACTCTGGAATTTACTGGAATATTAGAAGAAAAATGATGGATAGAAGTCTTCAAAGGCCTCCCTGGTGATTGCAAGGGGTTAAGTTGCAGCACTGTGATGCTATCAGCAGCCACTGAAACATGAGTTTGATCCCCAGCCAGGGATCTGACCCACCTGGCACAGCAGACCTCTTCCATCTTGCCTGCTGCTCCCTTCAGCAGTGTATTTCAGAAGATCTACCTGTTCTGCTACTTACTCTGTCTCTGGTGAATCCTCTAACCTCCCTTCTCCCCATCCCCACACACACACCTCCATTCTGTACCCTAGTTCTTATATGCACGAATGAATGAATATTTTTTTAAAAACATAAAAATAAAGTTTAAATAACTGACTGGGTAACCTTAGCTACATTGAATTACATATTCATATCTTACATATTCATATCCCATTGGCAGAATTTGACTATGGAAT